GAGAGGTTTGAGGCAGCTGGGCCAAATCGGCAGCCACAGCCTAAAAGTTGGGGGTGGGGAGGTGGGGGGAGCAAACCAAGGTTGTGGGAACAACTGCTCTTCCCGCCCCATAGTGAATGACCCCCCTGCTCCCCTCTAGGCACCTAACTTAAAGGGCTGGACTTTCAGTGTCCCAGTGGGAGCTGCTGAGTGCTTTTGAAAATCTGGCTCTACAATGGGATTTTTCAGTATCCTAAGAAACCTAGGGGAATCAGGAACCTCAAATCCCATGGAAACACAATGACAGCTGGGTGCATAACTCCCTTAGGGCCCTTTCACCACCCCTGTGATTTCACAGGTCCCAGGTAAAATCCCTCCGGCTGCTGACCCACCTGGGGATGCAGCGTTACTGAGTGGGGGACAGTAACAGTTAAGCTGTTTCCTTCTAGGCAGATGGGAACCCCCCCACCAAGGTCAAGGGAGCCCCAGGCCGGACCACAACTCCTGCCGGAGCAGTGCTGAACTAGACAAACAGGGGTAATCAGTTATGTCTGGGCATCTCTCTGCCAGAAGACACTGATGGAGGGAGTTTGGAGAAAAGCAGCACAGATTATATGAGGCAGTGGTGAAGGGACTGGTTATGAGGAGAAATCCATGCCTAGCTTGGCTAAGCAACAAGGTGGTTACAGGTTGGGCAGGGGCAGGGGCGGGGGCAGTGCGGGGAGGGAAGGGGAGGTGATTGGGCAATGTTAAAAGCCACCTAAGACCCGAAGGGTGTGAACGCCAATGAGGGAGAAGAGTTATTCTGGCTAGTGTGAGAGGGTGTAACTAGGAGCTATGGGGGGAACCAAGAAAGGGAAAAGTTAAGATAATGAACATGCAAACAGTCCTGGCAGTGAGATTTGTCAGGGTGTGGAATGGTCGCCTGGAGGAAAGGGGCGGAAGAACCATTTTTCAATAAGACTGCAGGACAAGGGGGGCTTTCACAGTGGCTTGCAATGCAGGAGACCTGAGCTGAATTCCTGACTTTGCCCTGAGTTACTGTAAGACCATAGGGAAGTTACTTTGTCTCTCAGTTTCCTATCTAGACAGTGGGGTTAGTAAAACCCTCCTCTCTCATAGGCACTGGGCAATGCTCAGCAGGAAGGCAATAAGGGCTGGGTACGTATCTAGTTTGGTAAATGTGCAATAGGGAACAGTGCTGCTTTGGCAGAGGCGTGGACTAGATGGTTTATCTCTCTTCCATCTCTGAGCTCTGTGATTTTTTTTTAAGCTGCAGATTCTCCTCTCCAGTTCAAGGGGAAGCTGCAGTTTAGCATTTCAACAGCTTATAACCCTTTTCATCAGTAGGTCTCAAAGTGCTTTTCAAAGGAGGTCACCATCATTATCCTCTTTTTACAGGTGGGGAAACTGAGGCACAGAGCAGTGACTTGACATGCCCAAGGCCACCCAGCTGGCCAGTGGCAGAGTCCCAGTCCAGTGCTCTAGCCAGTAGGACATACTGCCTCATTTAACACCCTGCTTTTACCTTCAGATGTATCCGTTGCCTCAGGTGAGATTTTTATAATTTCATTTTGCGGATTACTCTGGAGTTGTCTTCTTTGTTAATCAGCCAACACCGGACACTGCAGCATTGTTACCCTGCTCCTAGGTTTTCTTTTGCACAAAACAGTTTTCCAATGAAATGCTTGCTTGGAATGACTCTCATTAGTCACCATTAGCAGAGGCTGCATTTTCCTCCCAGCGCTTCTAGGGGTTTAGCACTGTCAGAATCACCCCCCCCCCCCATTATTCCCGGTTGCTCTGAAGCCATTGGTCCTACCCGCATTTTGACACCTGCTCATTATTCACCAATATCAGGTAAGTCAGACACTACACCAGATCCTTGGGAATAGGAACTTGCTTATAGGGCTCCCAGTTCCCTAACAAAGGACCCCCAGCTTCAAACCACCCCAGCTTCTTCTTATTACTGTTTGAATTGCAGTAGCAACTAGAAGCCCTAACCCAGACCAGGGCCCCATTGTGCTAGGTGCTGTACAGACAGGCCATGAGAGATGGTCCCTGAAGAGTTTACAACCTGAACAGACAAAGATCTAGTAAAGAATGAAAGGAGAGGGATAGAATTAATGCCAGTCAATGTGGTTCTATGAACATAGTCTTGTCAAACAAACCTGATTGCATTCTTTGAGATCACCATTTTGGCTGATAAAGGTCACTGTGTAGATGTAACATACTTAGATTTTTCTAAGGTGTTTGAATTACTGCCAGGTGACATTCTAATTACAAAAATTAGCATGATATAGTATCAATTAAGCACATGTTAAATGGATTGAGAACTGGGTAACTGACAAAGCAATTGTCAGTGGGAATCATCATCGAATGGTGGGAATCTTAGCATCTGCACCTGACATAAGAGCTAATATGAACACAGGCAGTGCAGGAAAAGGGTAAAACACCCGCCATATAAATATAGTGGATTCCACTCCTCTGATAACAGGGACTGCAGGGAATTGATTTCATGGAATACACTTAATAGGGTTTTAAAACCCTTTTAAATGGAAACTTTTCAACCCCTTGTGCTGGGTAAGAGGGGCAGCTAAAAGCTGAGGCCAAGAATTTAGAAGATGAGTGTCTAAAGTTTGTCTGTAAAGTCTATAATCAGAATAAAATGGTTTGTTCGCAAAACAAATAATGAACAGCACCCTGTAGGTCAGTTGCTTACACAGCAACAATAAAACCTCTTTGATGGCTGGGAGTCTGAACAAAAGAATAGAAGTAAAAAGCTTCAGAATTTGCAGTTTAGTTTATGCTCAGGCTTATGCAGAACATAACCAAAGAGATGCTGTATCTCTATTTGTGTGCATTATTTACTAGATTTCTAGTGTAATAGGGACTAGGATGAGACCTTCACAGGGGACTGATTATCCCACAGCTGACTAATAACATCTAGCTCTTATACAGTACTTTTTATCCATAGATCTCAAAGCACTTTACAAAGGACATCAGAATCATTAGCGTCATTTCACAGATGGGAAAACTAAGGCACAGGGCGGAGACTGGTTGGAGAGAAGATGCTGAACTGAATGGACCTCAGGTCTTATCCATACTGGAAATTCCTATGAAAATCCACAGGTCCCTGAGGTTTCGCATTTTATATGCTGGTTCTCCACATTCCCCATCCAGTCCCCCAGGATATAGTTTTGGATGTTTCGTTGCATTCCTCATCTGTTTGGCAGGCTTGAGAAATGTTCTCCTGGGCTGTGGCCATCCATGGAGGAGAGCTGTTCATTGATAGTTTTTCATTGATTTTTTTTTTTCAGCTGCAGAGGCCACGTGAAATCCCATACTCCTGTGGTTAAAGCTGTTTAGTTACATTGGGACACGTCATGGCCACATTTGGATCTCTAAGAAATTAATTCTACTGTACAGGGAGATGGGAAAACCATCTTCCTAGATTACATTGATCCCCAGCAATCTCATTTCTTTAGGACTCTGCCTGTTCTTACCTTGGGAGAATTTTCCCATGGATCAGTTATACAACCATATCTTACAGGGTTTCCGCATCCTAGAGTTTCTCCGTGTACTTTCATTGCTTTCCTAGCAGTATGGAGGAGAATGTGGAAATCTGCATTTGATTGGCTCACCTAACAACCTCATCATCATAGCAACTGTTACTCCTTTTTGATCTGAGCAGTTTGCCAATTTTGGAGGCCCTGCCGGTTGTTTTCATTAGGAGGAGAAATGGGTGATATGAATCAGGTATTTCTCTGATGCAATCTTGTTTATTTACAAAGAATGTGCAAAGACCTGTTTTCCTGAACACAATAGGAATTAAACAGAAGATGGTTTCTTTGTTCAGAGTCCCATGCCACTTTTCAGCTAGCACTCAGCCCCAAAGTTTTCTCTCTAGGTTTTTTCTATGAGCCATGTTCCCTGTACTTGTTCTGTTTATTCCTTAGCATTCTGCTCCTTCTCTGGGTCTGTTTCTGTGTTGCTTCTTGCTGCTTCTCTTTCTTTCTCTCACACACAGACACACTGCTCCAATCCAACCAATCCCCTGCCCCAGTGCTTGTTAGCAGATCACAGTGGAACCCCCTTGGGCTGCCTAGCTCGGATCCCAGTCTAGCCTTGCACATGGCTTTGTTTTGGGCAGGGGCCCCGATTATTTCAGCTACCTATTCCATGAAGGAATTCAATTGCTTCTTACATTTATCCTGGATGAAAGGCTGCTCTTCCGCCCACCAGCTCCAATGCGTTTTAACCCACTCATAACACACCAGTACTTAAGACTGACATAGTCCTAAACACCTTAACAGCAGCACTTCATAAACATTAACCAGTGAAGCCTTTTAACACCCCTCTGAGGTATCTTCCCCATTGTACTTATGGGGAAACTGAGGCTCGGGAGAGATTTAGGGCTAGATTTTTAAGGAACTGAGCTGTTTGGAAGCAATTTAGGTTACCTACATTATCAACATCTCTGAGTGGGGGCACTGAGAGTATGTCTACACTGCAATAAAACACACGCGCTGGCGTAGGTTAGCTGACTTGGGCACCCAGGACACTGGCTAGGCTATAAAATCACAGTGTAGAGATCTGGGCTTGGACTGGAGCCTGGGTGCTGAGACCCCCTGAGCAGGGAGCGTCCACGCTGTATTTTTTACACCTCTGGGCCCCTGGGCGGAGTGAGGTGACCCAGGCCAGCTGTGGGGATTTCACTGCAGGGTAGAGGTCCCTCATATGCCTAGATCGGACGCGTCAGAGTGACTCTCCTGCGGTATAGACATGGGTGGGGTGTGCCCCGGATTCACACCGCAATGCACCCCAGTGACCCTGCCCTTTGGCTAACCCCATCACTGACTTCTTTGCGGCCACATGCACCATCCCCGAGGCCCTGGGCAGCGAGAAGAGGGGCCGAGGGAGTGACACTGCGCGCCCCAGGCCCTGGCACAGCGGCGAGCCCCGGGCGGGGCCCTGGAGGCTGCTGGCGCCATGAGTCACTGCGGAACGGCGCTGCCCCCAGCGGCTCCCGGCCCAGGCGTGACTCCGCCCGGCCAGCCAGGTGCTCGGCGGGCGGGGCCCGGCGGAACGAGCCGAGCGCCGGGAACATTGTAACCCTGCGAGCCGCCTGCGCCCGGAGCGTCCTGCGCCATGGGGGCCTGCCTGGGGGTCTGTTCCCTGCTCAGCTGCGTGAGTGCCCCTGCCCGGGCAGCGCCCTCTCGGCATGCCCCGGGGCTCCTGCGTCCCTTCTCCGGGACCCTGGCTCTGCTCCCCTCCCTCCACCCCGCTGCCTCTCTTCCTCCATCCCCTCTTCGGTCTCTGTTTCTCCCCGTCCCCCTTTCCCCGGCAGATTGTCTCTCGCCGTCTGCGCCTTTCTTTCCCTCCGAGATCCATGGGTTCCCGAGGGCGGAGAGCTGCCTGTGTGCAGGGGCTCAGACTTGTTCTTCTCTTCCCCTGAACTTGACTCTCGCCTGCTAAGCCTTGTGCCCCGCGCCTCGCTGGCTGTACCCCGCGCTTGTGTTGCTTTTTGTTCTGTGTAAATATAAAGAGCCATTTGAAAGTTTGATCCTTTTCTTTCTTTACTACATGACCGTGTTCTCCGCTTCTCTTCTAGACACAATGCTTCAGTCGCTATAATTCCTTAGTCACTTTCCAACCTCCTGAAACTTCAGGAGGAAGTCAGTGTAGCACCGTATATTGTGCAACATAAAACGTGTATGGGAGCCTTTTTGTGACTCTAAATAGTTCTAAAGTGTCTAAAATATTTATTTCAAAGCTTGATCGTGATATTTAATTTCCTATCTACAAATTCTTTGCAAATTTTGGATTCTCCCTGATCTCCCTAAACTTAAAAACCCGAGTGTGTAAAATAATACAGAACTGTATATGGCTTATAGTTAAAGTGACTAGTTAGTCGTTGCTCAAAGCTTGCCCGCATACACACACACACACACACACGGTTGTAAAATGAGAGTGGACTGTATAGCCAGTTAGAGTAACTCGCATGAAATCTGTTTCTTGTTCTTTCAAAGCCAGAAATTGCTTGTGTTTGTGGCATGCATCTTTTGTGACTGTTTATGAGACAAACCTCAAGGGAGTTCTTTAGCAAGAAAGGCTGGGTGGCTTTGTGGCTTAAAGCAGCAGTGTAATGTTTTTACGTGTTGACATTTGAAAACAAAATTGCAGATTTTGTTAAGACAAATACAACCGTGAGGTGTAAGGAGTCAGGACCCAATCCCGCGAACACAAGACTGAGCACTCATTGCGGGATCAGACGCGACATTGATAAATGTGGCACTAGCATAAATTCTTCACAACAGAAAGTAAAGAACTCTTAAAAGGGAAAAAACTCTCTTCCACTGCTCAGATAGCCAAAAAGAATCCCCAACCATTACTAGTTTTTTTTCTTTAATGTAGGTATTTTAGTTAGATCAAGTTAAAAAAGGTAATGCATGTCTATTAAATGCCAGGGCTTGATCAGTTTTTAGTTTTCATTCAGACTGTGCCATGTGTAATTTTAATGCGTGGGAGGGTCTTCTAAACTTTTGGGGTAATGTTGTTTGGGAGTTTTCTTTAGCAACACTGTCATCTGATCCAACTGTTCAGTGGCATGGTCTATCTTCCCAGTCAAATGTTTCCAGCGCTTTAGTCCTGTCTATGATAGGCACAGTAGTTGTGTGAAAATGTTTAGGAGCTTGAAAACACACACACACACACACACACACACACACACACACACACACACACACACACACATATAATATACAAAATCTATGTATAATTGGGACTTGAGACAGAGCTTTTCAAGGGTGTATGTCAGTGGTTCTCAAACTTTTGTACTGGTGACACCTTTCATATAGCAAGCCTCTGAGTGTGACCCCCCAAAAAAAACTTTTTAATGTATTTAACACCATTATAAATGCTGGAGGCAAAGCGGGGTTTGGGGTGGAGGCTGACAGCTCGCGACCCCCCATGTAATAACCTCGCAACCCCCTGCGGGGTTCCGACCCCCAGTTTGAGAACCGCTGGTGTATGTGCCCTGAATCTTCTCTCTCATTGAATCACATGTGCCTTTGCAATAGACACACCCTCCTTGTGTGTGAAAGCACCAAGGTGTTATTAAAGGGACCCACCCAAGATGGAAGTTTAAACACCAGTTTGTTTTCCTCTAAACACACCTCTACGTGATCACCTGTTGGAAGGAGGCCAATGTAAATTAACTTCAGAACAGGATCACCGGGGCCTACTTGTAGCCGCCAGGCCTAGTAATTATTGCAACACAACTGAGAGCAGTATCAGGTGGCTGATACTGGCTGGAACTGAGATGGTTTCACAACCTGACACAATGCTCCAAAGGCAGTTGCCACAAGTGGCCTGCAGCCTTCTGCTTTAGGGCGTTTAAAGCTCACAGTTTGTATGATTTTGAATAATGTTTGGAGCCCTTAGATAGGAAATGTATAGCCGACTCTAGCTGCACAAATTCTGTGTGCACGTCTGTAAGTGCCAGATAAACAGTCTATAGTCCGAGAGCATGTTTTGGCAGTTTGCAACCCTAATTCTGGTTTTCTCCCCCAAAAGCCAGAGGGTCATTCTAGGCGGCAGCCTGGAAGCTGGGGCGGTGGTCACTGTGGCAGATCCGCAGCTAGCATAAATGGTGGTATTTCCGTTGGCTTCAGTGGAGCTGTGGCAGTTGACACCAGCTGAGGATCTGTTCTCTTACGGTTATGCACGCGGGCCCCCCACCAAGTGACAGGAATGACGCAGCCTCCCTGGCACAGATGATCTGTGCTGCTAGTGGGAATAATCCATGTGGAGGGTGATCCTCTTACCAAGCGGGATCTAGTCCTATACTGTGATATCTGAGCACACAGCTGTGTGTCTATTTTGGAGCCATTTACACAGTGCAGCAGAATTTGGCCCCCAGTGTCAGGTACCGTGATATGACCAAACACATTCGCTGCTCAGTTTCATTTTTGTCTTCCTAAAGCAACCCTTCCTCCCGGGCTTCTGGAGGACGCACTGGTGAGCGGTGGAAGAAAAATGATAGAAAAGGGCAGGGGAGGAGAGAGGTCTGTCATGAGTGGGTTCAGCAGGCTTAGGTGAAGTGGTCATGGCTAAACTGCTTCTGTCTAGAAAGTTTTTAAATTCCAAGCACGTACAAGAATGGAGCTAGATAAGTTCCCGGAGGAAAGGTCCATCAGTGGTTATTAGCCAGGATGGGCAGGGATGCCACCCCATGCTCTGAGTGTTGCTAGCCTCTGTTTGTCAGAAGCTGAGGGTGGATGACATGGATCACTTGATGCTTGCCTGTTCTGTTCATTCCCTCTGAAGCATCTGGCCATTGTTGGAAGGCAGGATACTGGACGAGATGGACGGTTGGTCTCATTCAGTATGGCTGTTCTTATGTTCTATCTTAAAATGCAGTAGCCTGCTCTGAGAACTAGGAAAGCGATGGTAAGATATCAAAAAGACCACAGTGACCAGGGAATCAATTACACTGGAGATTACAGATATTTAATACAAAAAAACTGTTAATGCAACACTATAAAGCAGGGGCTCTCAACCTTTCCAGACGACTGCACCCCTTTCAGAAGTCGTTGTCTTGCCTGCCCGCAAGTTTCACCTCACTTAAAAATACTTACTTACAAAATCAGACATAAAAATACAAAAGTGTCCCAGCCCACTATAACTAAACAATTGCTTAGTTTCTCTTTTTTACCATATAATTATAAATCAATTGGAATATAAATATTGTACGTGCATTGCAGTGTATAGCATACAGAGCAATATAAACAAGTCATTATCTGTATGAAATTTTAGTTTGTACTGACTTCGGTAGTGCTTTTTATGTAGCCTGTTGTAAAACTAGGTAAATCTCTAGATGAGTTGATGGACCCCCTGGAAGAGCTCTGCGTACTCCTAGGGTTACATGTCCCCTGGGTTGAGAACCACTGCTATAGAGCACCCAGCATTTAACCAATAGGTAGTGAATAGTCCTGGCAGAGAATTTAAAATTAGACTCACTACTCGGGATATGCAAAGTTCTGCTATATTCAACCGCTGGAACATTATCCCCTTGTTTACATTCTTGTAGATGTTAAATGTTACGCCTTTGCCAACCACATTATTAATATTTTGCAGGTCACCTTTTAAATTCAGTATGAGAACTATAACTGGAGTTTCCTGGCTGTTGTGCCTGTTGGTTCTTGGCTGTAATGCTGCACTTTTGGGGGAGGGGGTAATTTAATTTCTTAGGGGTTTTAAAAAGAAGAACATGAGTGGCCACTGAAATAAATGTTTATAGATCAGAGCACGCTTTGGTCTGTAAGGAAAGTAATGTCTGGCACATGTGTCACATGTTAAATTCCTTTGTGCAACTTCTTTATTTAAACAACTTTTCTTTTTCAAGCTTAGTAGATCACACATTCTGTAGTGAGAAGACGGCAAATCACTTTTTTGACTGAAAATCACTGTTTCTGGGCGATCCAAAAATAAGAAACAGCTACATAAACTTTCAGCCCAGAAGTTCTTTTGTTTGAAACTGATCCGCTGGAAACGGGAACGAAAGTACAGTCTCGGCTGTGAATGTAGCTTTGCTGTCAGGAGTAATGTCTCCCAGGCGTGTGATGGTAGCATTGCCCTGTAGTCTGGTGCTGATAGTAGCCTGGACAGCACTCTTAGCTCCATACTCAGGCGATGTCTTCCCCACTAAAGAGTGTGTTGCTGTGGGATAACTTACCCGGTGTTGGCTATCCTGCTGTAAAATCCTAGTGGAGGCTACACACCTGTAGCGCCGTCCGCGAGGTCAGCACTATACCTGCCTGGCCTGCGGATGATCTCACCTGCCTCATGGTAAGACTCCACTAGGTTTTTACAGTGGGGTCGCTAACAGTGAAGATGAAACCTTGGAGTCGGATCTTGCTGGACTTCAGTTGGGCTACTTGTGTGAGTAAAGTGAGCAGGACTTGGGCCTTTATCCTGAAAGAGTCTCTCTCGCGCAGCATGCCACAGCCTGTTCATGTTGTAGGTGTCTGTGACTCCCCTTCCCCCACATGGAATAGCTTTCTAGCTAGAGACATTCCCCACCACCAGCTTGCTCTGGGGGCGGTCTGCTGAAATGAAGCCAGCTGTATTTATTTTGCTACTTCTGCCCTGCTAGTATGGGGGAAGTGAGCTGAATGGAGAGGTAA